GCATGTTAGAAATACAGAATTTCAGGCTCACCCCAGACCTACTGAATCAAAGCCTGTGCTTCAGTATGATCCACACATGGTGCCTAGGCACACTACAGTTGGAGAAGCCCTGGTCTAGAACAGATACCTCAGAAAAGTTTCTCTTATGCACTGAACAAATGGGAAATATTGGAGACACAGGCAGCTCTCACCAGCACGACCCCCAGGGCATCGTTAGCACAGGAGCCAGGTGAGTTTGAGGATGCCCCCTCAAAGTGACCTTCTGAACACTGGCTGTGGTTAGAGCCCAGAGAAAGGACCAGCCGAGCAGGACTGGGCTGCTGGACATATCCTGGAATCGAAAGATAGCCTCATTGCCATTTGACCTGGTGAGTCTGGTTTTCAAAAAAGGCAGTTTGAATTTTAGAATCAGTTCTTGGATCTACCTGGGAGCCCCACTTTGGGGGATTATTTGGCTTTTGCTTAATCTGGTGAAGACTGTCTTGCCAATGGGTCTCAGCCCCGGGCAAGTTCGCTATGGATTCAGTGTGACCAAAGAAATGACAGTAGAACATTCTTGGGGTGAATAGGTTTATTACCGGCTTGTTCTCCCAGCAGTAAGGTCAAGCACTAGTGTCTCTGCCCCTGCCCAGAGCACTGGGCCGAGTTCTCTATATGGAGCAATAATAGCTTACTGCCTAAAGGTGTGGAAGCAGTAGCCTAGCAACAGGACAGTTACATTATCAAGTGGTTTAAGTTCAGTGAGGGTCTTGGCCATAGGAACTCCAATTTCCCCACACTCCACCCCTCCAGGATTCTCACCTTACAATCTGCATGCTTTCAATCCTCCGCAATGGTCCCTGTGCGAGAAAGCTGGAGCACTGTAACCAGATTCCACACAGCAACAGAGGATAACAACTTAGAGATAGTAACAAAACTTAAGATACAGCAAGATTTTAAACAAAATTTATAATAATCCTCAAGTCAAAAGAAGTTCCCAATCCACAAAGAACTTAGGGGCCATAAGACACATGTTTTAATGACACCAACATAGGCAAATCTTGTCCATTGGGTAGGATACATGCAAGAGAGTGGTCCTGTGATAGGACTGTAGCAGGAAGGGGGTCCCTTCCAGGTCGAGTATACCATATTTTTACACCTCTCCCCATAGGGGTCACTGAAGGGTCTATATATAGTGCTACGAGAGGTGCATGCACTGGCCATAATGATAAAACAAAACTCCCTGGTAAGATGCTCCTACCTTCTGGCCATTCAGGATATACTACTGTGATCTTTGGTGGCCACTCTGCTGTTATTCCAGGAATACACAGGAGGCCAGCTTCCAGGCCTTGTCTCCAAGGTGCCAGGAGAGCCAGTCATCATTGGTCCATGTGTCAAAAGGTCCAAGGCCACGTCCACTCAATGGAGTCTCCAGGGATTAGTGCAGTTGCTGCTGGCAGCAAGATATTTTTTCTGGTGGCCAAACCTCAGCTTCAACAATTCTTCCTTGGTTTGTACTTGCAGTTATATAGGGGAAGCAGCCATATGTGTTAAGATGTCTACAAAGCTCAGGGCTTCCTTTTGGGTCTCTCATTCAAATGCTGTAGCACTGTCCATAAGCAGACTGACCATCCCTGCAGACTATTGGTATCTGACTTTAGTCCAGATTTTAACAAGCCATTGTGCCTCTCTATCATGCCTGCCGTGGTAGGATTGTATGGCACATGAAACTTCCACTTGATTCCCAGCTGTTGCACCCATTCTTGCAGTGTATGTCCAGTAAAATGGGTGCCCTGATCACTTTCAGTTACCTGTGGTAGGCCATAGGCGGCAAAGAGAGGCTCCAGGTCTCTTTTGGTCACCTACTGGTCTGCATAACGGGTAGGAAAAGCAACCAGAAGTCCGGTAGCTGTGTCCACAGAAGTCATGGTATACCAGTATCCTTCTGACACAGGTAGAGGCCCAATATAGTCTATCTGCCACCTGACAAGGGGTATCAGCCCCTTTGCTATTGTCCCATGTTGCTGTGGAATTCAGTGTAAATCCCTTTTGGAGCACACAACACACTCCTGTAGGACTCTACTGACTTCTTCAAAGGGAAAAAGCAAGACCCACTGATGGGCTACAGCCCACATTGTCTTTTGCCCCACATGCAATAAACGCTGATGTAAGAATTGGGCTATATCAGAGGCAGGCTTTCCTTCTAACCAAGGTATCTGGGCCAATTTATCTGCTTCATCATTTCCTGGGGATGCCAGTGTCAAATGATCTGTCACATGGTATTCTGTAATTGTTTTACTCTGACCACAGGCCCATAAGTCTTGCCACAATTCTTGCCCCCAAAAGCATGCTACCAGGTTGGTAGCCACAGGGTCAAGCCCCGATAGACAGCCCAGCTGTCAGTGCAGACAACTATAGGGGAGGGCTCCTGGCTGATCACAAGCCACACAGCCCGCAACTCTGCCCATTGACTGCTCTTCCCCTCACCATCTTTCATCCATATTGTCTCAGTCTTAGGATAGAAAGCTATGGCCTTCCATTTTGGGGGCTTCCCATGGCTGGAGCCATCTGTGTACCATGGATCTTCGGGTATCGGGGCTCTTCCCTCCCAGTAGGGACTCTCTGCTACTAATGGTTCGAAAGCAAGTTCTTCCTGCTTTTCACTAGTATATGCCCTTGGCCCCAATAAGCATTGGAGTTCTTGACTCAAGGGGCTACTAGAGAGGGCACTACACTACTGTAGGTAAGCACCCCACTTGGCCAGTGTGGCCGTTTGTGCCACACCACTCCTTGGCTTTCGAGTCCAGTCTCGTACCCACCCCAAGATGGGACAGGTGGTTATTACCTTTATCGGGGCCATTCCAGTGATGGGTTCTGTAGCCAGCAAGGCGTGAAACATGGCAGCCAGTTGTTTTTCTATCAAAGTGTATCGTACCTCTGCCCCTTTCCAGAGTTGTGACCAGAATCCAATAGGTTAGCGAGTTCATTCAGGCCGCTGTCAGAGACCCCAGACATAACCGTCTTCAGTGACATGAACATCCAGCTCACAGGGCCTTGATGGTTTATCATGCTCAAGGCCTGCACGGCCTTGACTACCTGTTTTCCTGTAGTAAAGGCAGATGCACTTGTCTCATCCCAGTCCCTCCTGATGCCCTTTTGTACCAACTGGTACAAGGTGAGTTGCTTTGAGTCATAGCCTATTACTTAGTCTTGATTGCTAGCACACAGGCAATGTGCTTACTAGGAGCCAGGCCCTGTTTTAAGTACCTTACCTATATCAATTCATTTAAACATCATAACAATTTCTAACAAGCTGCCAGGTGATGCAAGTACTGCTGGTCTGAGGACCACACTTGAAATCATTTCACTATGAATGAATTGGAAATACTGGAATTAAAATCCCTGGGTCTAAAATGATAATGACAAACTTACAAGCAGTAAACAATAATAATCCAGTTGATTCAGAGCTTTACAGTTTTGCAAAGCCTTTTTTCAGAACAGTTAGAACTTAGACAAGTACTATTATCAGAGGAGGACACCGAGGCACAGAGAGTTTACGTAGTTTTCCCAGGGTCACAGACCTGATAAATGACAGAGCCTGTGTTTGGACACAGGCAATCTAGCTTCAGAGCCATAAGTAATGTATGATTACTTTTTGCATGGCACTTTTAACATTCTTTGATTGCAAGTTGATTTGATTTGTTCATTTTATGTGCACCTCACAGAAATGTAAACATCTTGACAGCAGGCGATGGGTCTGCCTTGTTTATGTTGTATCCCCAATACCCAGAAAAGTCCTAGCATTTAGCAATAAATATTTGCTGAATGAATAATACTAGCACAAGGCTCTTCAGGGAAATTTACCATAAAGTTATATAGTTATCATGGCACAACAGTTGCTGTAAACATGGGACCAACTAAAGACAAGTAAACCCAGACCTGAGGGAGTTTCTGGGCAGAAAGCTCACTAGGCTCCCTCACACCACCTTACAGCTAATTCAGCTTCAGGACTAAAGGGATAACATTCTGTGAACCTTGGAGACAGCTGGCAAAGTGTTGAAACTCCTCGATAAATCCACAAGGACTAAGAGTTTGCTATCTTGAGCGTTCACTCTATACCAGGCATTCAATCAGATGTTCAGGATACAAAGATAGGTACAAAGGCACAGGATGAATGAGCCATAGTGCTGTGGGGACACAGAGGCTGGAGAAGAATTCTGCCTGGGATGGGGATGTGTGTGTCAAGGTTGTCATAAATGGCCTCATTTCTGAAGCTGGGCCATAAATGATTGAGATTTTGCGCTTAACGGGAAAGGGCTTTCAGGAGGCAAACACTTTCTTTTTTGGAAGGGCTAATGTTTATATAATCTTCAGCATCTTGTTCTTAACTCTAACAAAAACCTATTCAAGCTTTTAATACCACAGGCTGTGTCTTTAAATACTGTCTGAAACAAAAGAGTCAGTTTGAGGCAATTATTCAGATGATTCAGTTTCTCAGAACTTTTAGTCTGAAATGTTCTAATAGTTGAGGCTACAAAAGCAAAAAGTATAGAAAGACAGTGGTAATTGATTTGAATTCCTAATCTTGCCTGTATAGACCATCCAAAAGAGTTTAACTTGAGAGAAAATGCAGAAGTGGACTCATGCGAAATAGTTTTTTCCCTGAGTGTGCTGTTCTTTAGAAGAGAGAGCACAAAACTGTTAAGAAAAATTATTTCTTCTGGGCACAATTCACAAAAATGTTACTAGTCAGCCAGAGGAAATAGCTCTTCAGTGATTCATCAATTTAAAATGCATTGTTGTATCCCAAACTAATAAAGATATTTCAAAAACCAACACTTGAAATAGCTTCTAATTTTTAAAAGCTGGTTCCATTTTAAATAATACAATTCATGGAACTTAGGAAAGTTAAATTTTCATGAAACATTAAAATGGAATTTGTGATTCTATGAGTTACAATTCTGTAAATGCATAAAAATAATTTGCCTGGCACAAAATTAGACTTTAGGTTAGTATATTACTTCATTTGAGGGTGGAGAGCATACAGATGCCGAGTCATCCAGGATAATTGGAGAACTCATAGGAAGAGAGACAGCTGAAGTATATTTGCCTCTATTAATTTTCTCTTTAGCATCTTCAAGTAACATCTCCAACTTGAATATTTCACCTTCTATTTTTCTAAGAAAACATAAACAGGCATCTTATTGTGTACGCAGTCAACATTCTAATTAGTAACAACAGTTCTTGAATATAGCATTAATCTATATTATTAATGCAGTCTGTCTTTAGACAGGAAAGATAATGGATACCCACCCTGACTGACATCCTATTTATAGTTTTACTCCAAAGGTCTGGGCTCTAATACTCATTTTGTTACTCATTAACTGTAAATCCCTGAGCAAATCTCTTAATCTTTCTGTACTTCCAATGTCTCAACTATAACATGGGATAACACTACTCTGCTTATCTGTACCTGATAATGTCTGAGTTCTAAGAGCTATGGTTCTATGGAAATAATAACATATCAATTGAAAAAGAAAGGACATGAATTATCTCAATAACTTAATTAATAAGCTTGATCTATAGGTATATGTACATATATGTACATCCATTTTCCTCAAATCTATTACATTTACAAAAATTTATCTTGTATTAATCCACAAAGAAAAATCTCAATAAATTCCAAAACATTAAAAATTATACGACAGTTTTTCTACTAAGATCTCAAAAAAAAGGCAAGGATGTCCTTTCTTACCACTCCTTTTCAGCATTGTACTAGAAGTCCTAGCCAATGCGGTAAGACAAGAAAAGGAAATAAATGACATACAAATTGGAAAGAAGAAATAAAACTCTCTTTGTTTACAGAAAAAATCCAAAAGAATTGACAAAAATACTCATAGAATTAATAGTAATTATAGTGAGGTTGCAGGATACAAGGCTGATATACCAAAATTCATCATTTTCCCATAAACCATCTATAAACAAGTGGAATTTGAAATTAAAAACAATACCATTTACATTAAAGTCCAAAAAAATAAAACACTTAGGTATAAATCTAACAAAATGCATACAAGAGCTATATGAGGGAAACTAAAAAATTCTGAAGAATGAAATCAAAGAACTAAATAAATGTAGAGATAGTCCATGTTTATGGATAGGAAGACAGGATTGTCAAGATGTCTTTTCTTCCCAATTTGATCTCTACATTCAGTGCAATCCCAGTCAAAATACACCAAATTCTTTTGTAGATATTGACAAACTGATTCTAAAGTCTGTATGAAGAGACAAGACCCAAAATAGCCAACACAATATTGAAGGACAAGAATAAAGTTGGAAGACTGATACTACCCAACTTCAAGACTTATTATAAGGCTACAGTAATCAAGGCAGTGTGATACTGGTAAAAGACTAGACAAATAGTTCAAAGGTACAGAATAGAGACCAGAAATAGACCCACATAAATACAGTCACCTGATCTTTGACAAAGGAGCAAAGGCAATACAATAGAGCAAAGATCATCTTTTTAACAAATAACAATGGAACAACTGGACATCCACATGCAAAATAAAGAATCTAAGCACAGACCTTCACAAAAATTAAAGTGGATCATAGACCTAACATAAAATGCAAAACTATAAAACTCCTAGAAGATAATGTTAGAGAAATACCTAGATGACCTTGGGTATGGTTCTGACTTTTGAGATATAAGACCAAAAACATATTCCTGAAAGAAATAATAGATAAGCTAGATTTCATTAAAATTTAAATTTCTGCCCTACAAAAGACAATGCCCAGAGAATGCGAAGACAAGCCACAAACTGGGAGAAAATATTGGCAAAGACATTTCTGATAAAGGACTGTTGTCCAACTCTTAAAATGCAACAATGAGGATAAAAACAATTTAAAAATGTGCTAAAGACCTTAACAGACACCTCAGCAAAGAAAATATACAAATAGTAAATAAGCATATGAAAAGATGTTCCACATCATATGTCATTAGGAAAATGCAAATTAAAACAGTGAAATACCACTATACACTATTAGAATATGCCAAAATATGGACTACGAGCACCACCAAATGCTGGTGAAGATGTGGAGGAATAGGAACCCTCAAGCATTGTTGGGAAATGCAAAATGGTACAGACACACTGAAAGACAGTTTGGTGGTTTCTTCCTTACCATATGACCCAGCAATCGTGCTCCTTGATATTTACCCAAAGGAACTAAAAACTATATCCACAAAAAAACTTACAGACGTTTACAGCAGCTGAATTTGTAATTACCAAAACTTGGAAGCAACCAAGATGTCTTTCAGTAAATTAACTGATAAATAAACTGTGGTATGTTCAGACAATGGAAGGTTATTCAGCACTAAAAAGAACTATCAAGGCATGAAAAGACATGGAGGAAACTTAAATGCATAGTGCTAAGCAAAAGAAGCCAATCTGAAAAGGCTACATATTGTATGATTCCAACAATGTGACATTCTGGAAAAGGCAAAACTGTGGCAACAAGGGGAAGATCAGTGTTTGCTAGGGGTTGGGATAGGGGGAGGGATGAATAGGTGGGCAACAGAGGATTTTTAGAGCAGTGAAAATTCTCAGTATGGTACCATAAAGATGGATACATGTCAGTAACTACAGTTATCATGGTGAACAGTTTGTTATGTATATAAATGTTGAATTGCTTTTTTATAAACCTGAAAATATTGTAAATATTATGACAACTGTACTTTGGTTTAAAAGATGGATACATGTCATTATACATTTATCCAAACCCATAGAATGTACAACACCAGAGTGAATCCTAATGTAAATATGGACTCTGGATGGTTGTTATGTATCAATGTAGGTTCATCAGTTATAACAAATGTACCACTCTGATGGAAGATATTGGTAAGTGGGGAGGTTGTGCGTGTGTGGAGGCAAGGGGCACAGGGGAAATGTCTATGTCTTCTTCTTCTCAATTTTTCTGTGAAGCTAAAATTGCTCTAAAAATAAGTCTTAAAAATTATATCACCCACAAGAAGGTAGCTCCCCTCAAAAAATATATATAATTGGAAGTTTTAACACATCTAAATAACTCTTTGGTTAAATAAAAAAATTTAAAAATGGGGTTAGGCTTGATTTTGACTTTCCTTCAAAATAACCCCTTGCCAACTTCATCCTCCTTCTTCATAAAGTAATGTTCTTCTGCTTGCTGGTTAGGCTACCCTATAGTTCTGCTGTGGCTTGAATGTCCTGAATTGCAATTCTGTTATTCCCCAATAAATCCATTTTTGCTGGGTAAAAAAAATGGAGATTAGGGATAATCTACATTTATAATGTAATAACATACATATATATGAGTAATAAATAAGAAAACGGCATATGAAAACCAATGTGATTTAGCAAAAGCAATACTCTGAGGAAACTTGATAGTCAAAATGCATTTATAAGGAGGGAAAGTTAAAAAGTAAGTATTTAAAATAGGAAAAAGAACAAAAAAGGAAGAGATTCATAACAGTAAGGAGAAATAAATGAAATTTAAAAGAATCTGATCAATAAAATACAACATTTTCTCTGAAAATAGTATAAATAAACCACTGGAAAGTCTGATTGGAAAGTCTCATTAAGAATGAGAAAGGAAAAACACCAGGAGAAAAATTTTAAATCAAATGGGATTGAACAACCTCATATCAACACTGTTTAAAATCTAAATGAAATGGACAAGTCTCTCAGAAAACATAAAGTATTAAAATCTACTCCAAAAGAGGTAAGAAATATGAAAAAACTAATAGTGAGAAAAAAAAGATAGAAAGGATTGTCAAAAATCTACCCCCCAAAATCTACACCAAACCCAAGAGGGATATAGGTGAGTTCTACAGAGAATTTAAGTAATGCTTATGAAACATAAAAAGAAGGGGAACTTTCCCAGTTAATTCTATAATTAAATATTAAGATATTTTATTATATTAATATGTTAAAGGAGATAAATTACATTGCTAAATCCTCTTTGAGTAAATATTTTCCAAAATGAAAAAAAAATCCTTGGAAGTTAGGAATAGTTTTTTGATAAGTAGATAAGCTTTACCAAAAAAGTGTTTTTGTTGTATGCTGATAATTTTTTTAATAAAGTTTATCTACTTGAACAATCATCATACTCGGAAGAATTCCCATTCCCATTAACATGACAAAAATTGTTTTCACTAGTATTATTCAATATTGTTTTGGAAAATGTAAGCAAATGAAATAAAGCAATAAAAAGAAATGTGATTTGAAAGAATTGGAAGGAAGAAATGATATAAAGTATGAATATTTAGAGGGAAAGTGAGAGTTTGGGGAACCTATCATTATTTTCAGATGTCCTACCTAAAAACTAGGACAATCAACTAAAATTCAAAACACTAAGAACAGAATTGCCTAGAGTAGCCCACTATGAGTTAAATATATAATTTTCTTTATTTCTTATATATATTGATTAGGGAAAACATCTACTAACAATACTCAGAAAACTATAAATGAGCTAGGAATGAATTTAACAAAATGTTATGCTTCTGGATGGGAATACTCATTACAAAGATTTTAATTCTTACTGAACTAATCTGTAAATTCAACACAATCCTAAATAAAATTTGAATGGAATTTTGTTAAGGAAGTTTGGTGAGCTGAATATAGAGATTATTAGTATGAAGGGTGTACAAGAATAGCTCAAGAAGTTTTTAAAAAGAAGAAATGTTTCAAAATATACACTAAAGTATAGTAATTTAAAACTGTGGTTAATGTTAAAGTGGAAGTAAAGATCTATTGGATGGGATAGAGGCATCCCATACACACTTGGAAGTTTTGTATATGGTAAAAGTGGCTTTTTCAAGCCGTGGGGAAAGGCTATACTGTTCAACAAGTAGTGGGACAAAGATCTAATCATGGAAGAATCATATTGATAATCAAATAAAATGGAGGAAAATATGTTCTGATCCAGCAGGCAGATGAGACTCAAGCAGGGGACAAGGAGAGGTGAACATTTCAAGGAAGGAAGTCATGGGGCAAGGACTCAAGGTAGCGGGAAGAGATGGGCTTGGGAAGCATGGCTGCAGAGGGTGGAAAAGGAGTGAAAGAGGAAAGAAGAGGTGAAAAGGCAGATTTGGAGAAGGAGAAAAGATATTTTTGAGGGAAACTGTGATCTTTTCTGTAAGCAGAAGATAAGGTTGTATGTTGATAACAGGGAGAAGGGATTGTTAGAGGTAAACCCCATTTGTTGATTCCTCAGCATCTGGTGTTAGTGTGTGAGAGAATCAAATGACTATCAGACTCCATTCTGACCAGCAAGTTGCATGACATCCAAAGCACTATTTTTGCGTATTACCTTCTAAAGATAATATAAGAAAATTTGAGTAGGAGCACAACTGCTCACTTAAATGAGCAATCAGTCAATGAACCTACAGAAAGCCATCTAGAGTGGCTTTTGGACTCAATATTTAGAGGATTCTCCACATACCACGACCTTGAGGGTCGTATGGTGTTCTGCTCATTGCTGCATCGTGCCTGTGTTAGAACAGGAGCCGAGCCGCCTTTGCTTGCTCTGAGTTCTGGGAGGATCCTTCTTCCCTTGCCCTAGTGTGAAAACTTCTCCTGTATATGGGATATAATTGCAGTTGAAACTTCTTGATTTATGCTGGGGCCTGGTGCAGTGTGGGTGTAACTGGGATATAAATGAGGAATTGCATAACTTGGTCTTAATGTGCACAGAGGACTGTGTTTAAAGCAAGTGGGATTCCTTGCAAAATAAATATCCTTTATTAGTTTTTAAACAAGTAGTGAAAGCATGTGGAGATCTCTTTTCCCTAGGGTGGGTAGGGGAGAACTAGCCTTTGGGGAAAAAAATCATTATTAAAACCCCATCCTTCTGTCTAGTTTCTCAGTATTGAAATAGCAGGAGACAGAGATTTCATTCATTTTGAAGTGGTAAAATTATACTTTGGGAAAAATACATCAAGACATTAGTGCCAAAATATAAACTATTAAAATGTTTTGGCATCAAGAATGACTCCATGTTAAATGCTATGAATAGAAAGAGCTGAAAGTACAAATATTAAGCCAGCTAAATGGATTCTTTTAATTCATACCAGGAAATTATATGGAAACAATCCTAGCCTTGCATCCTGGAACACATCTTCAAGTTATTTGGATTGGAGAAAGCAGAGCATGATGCCATAAAAATAGCCAGCTGGAAACTTCAATATGAGTGTGCATCCAAGTTTCTAATGTGAAGTAACTGTAAGCTTGAACATTTTCCCTTTATCAGGATTTGTAGGTCCCTCACCCCAACATTAACCAACTAACAATGACCCTCTCCTGCCCACTGCCCCTTTAAAATTGGGAAAGAAAAGGGGGGAAAAGAGGGACAGAAGAGAAGAAGCAGGCAGGGGAAATTAATGCAGGAGTGGGGTGAAGGAGACGACAGGAGGAGCTTGAAGAAAAGGCCCTCTGGGTTAGATTGTGGGCCTTTCTAGAGTTTTCTTGTGCTGTTCTAGGTCTCAGAATCAATTATAACAACATCCAACAAAATGCAAAATGGTGGCACTCTATCTCCTCCAGGAGGCAATGGCTCATTTGTGGGAGGGGAGCGTGGGGGGCTCTGTCTGGGTTGGTGCCCAGCACAGCACTTTACATATAGCAGGATTTCCGTAGTAGATGCATGAGGTGACACTGTTCCCTGGTGGCCCAGTTTTTGCTGACCCTAGAGCAGTGGCTTTCCAAGCACTAAGTCAGTAGCCACATCAGTATCCCACGCAAAGGATGTCGCCTCTGACCCCTCTAGCTCACACAGTTTAAGCCTAACCTTTCAGGATCAGAGCCACAGACAGCTGTGGAGTCAATGCTGCTTCAAAGTCAGATGCTTCTCCATTTTGTCCAGAAACTCCTGCTCCAGCAGTTCAAGATGTCCCTGCAGTTGCTCCAAGACCTGTAGCAATGCAGTCACTGGAATCATTCACATATAAGCCTGTGCATGTAGTTATTTCTCCCCAAAACTCAAGTAGTAACAAAATGAAGCCACCATCCCTTTCCTGGCAACTGTGTCGTTTGAGTCTGACAAACAACAGACGATCCGAGAGCCATCTCAACATTCATCACACCCTCAGAGCACATAGCTGAGAAGTGTAGCTACTTACGATTCCTCTCCCACAACCCACTCAGGGACCTCTGAGCTTCCTTAATGGGACATTAATATTCCTGAATATATGCAGAATGACTTTTAGCTTATATAGCACCTTCCCATTCATGATTATATTGAATTCACACATCAGTGTCGTAAATATTGCAGACTAGATATTACCACCCCAGTTTTGTAGAGCAGGCAGTTGGAACTCTAGGAAGTATGTCTGAAGCCACAAAGGTTTTACAAAGCAACTCAAGTTTAAGGTCCTGAGTTTGAGTCTATGGTATGGGAGAGTGAGACAGGGAAGAAACTCAAGGAAGTTTAGCAAACAGCATGGAATGGGTCTTGCAGGTACCACTATATGCAGCCTCGCACAGATGAATGTTTAAACCGTGCAGGTAGGGTCTTGTCTTGGTGTGTGGAGGCCCTGCAGCCTCATCATAAAAATTCCCTGAGCCCTGCCTATGCTTGGCCCTGGGCCAAAAGTGTGAGAGAGACAAAAATTCTATCAGACACAGTCCCTGAGCTCAGATTTTATTCCATTTGGGAAAAGAGATCATGGATTGGAGTGCTTTGCCATGGCTCAGTGGAAGAAGTGAGACTTAAGTCAGGCTTGAAGTGTTCTCAGGAGGCCTGGACCAGGCAGTGTCCATGAAAATGGAGACAAAAGGATGAAGGAGAAACATACTGGCAAGGGCAGGAATATAACTAGTGGGTTATGGGATCAGATACACCATGGTTCTTGTGCAGACTCCATCACCTACTGATTGTATGATTTTAGTGAACTTGAACTCTAGGCTTCAGTTTGCTTACCTGAGATGATACCTCACCTGATATTGTAAAAAGCAAATGAGATAATGCTTAGTGCCAGGAGCTTAGTACATACGCAATAGATGGTAGCTGTCATCATCATTATCATTCATTCTTATTAAAAAATAAACAAATCTGGAAACCTATTGGCTATAGAGTATTAAAAATGACACTTGTGATAGACATTTTCCATTTTCCACCTAGATGCATCCCCCATCTCTTTGCTGCAGCCAGGAGCCTGGCCTTCAGTGGACGAGGTTAACGGGCTCCTGTGCACCTGGCCTTGGTTGATTTCAGCCAGTGGAAGGCAATAGCAGGAGAGGGGAACCGAGGAAGGATGAGGTAGGGGTCTTGCTCCCTGACTTACTCCTGCCTGTATGGTGGACTGGCTGTGTCTCTCTACCAAAAGCTGCTGAGGGAGCTATAGCTGCTTCTTTAACTCCAGTACCTGATCTTCTGTTCCTTCTGCCCACTGTTCCTTCCACGAGATTTTTTCCATCCCTTAACCTGGTTTCCCTTAACATTGTTCACTGTTGCAAAATAATGCCTTATTAAACTCTCCTCAACTACTCCATGGGAGGTAAGCAAGCCAGTTCCTGCCAGGACTCTGATACTATAAATCTCACAGACGATGCTCAGGTTTCTAGTTTGGGAGGTGGGAAGAATGTGAAACTCCTGACTAAAATCAGTAATTCGGAAAGGCTTACAAGTCTGAATGAAGCCATCAGTGTTGAATAAGGTAGAATTTTCAGAGAGAGAGGCATATCCGGGTGAAGATACCCATAAACATTTGGAGTCATAGATGGGAAGTTAGGACTAGTAATTTAGGAATTGGTAGCATGAAAATGGCACTTAAAATAATGAGAAGGAGTGAGGTGTTTAAGGGAAAGAGAAAAGGCAAGAAAGCCAATTATGAATTATAATTTAGGATCTTGGAATTTAAATTGTGTAATATCTCAGAGAAAGGGCACAGTTTTCTAGCCATACATGTACCTCATTTAATTCTCATAACTCTGAGATGCAAAGACATGCTCCATGTCTAAGAATGTACAAACAATACATGGAACTAGGATGTACACTCCAAAGTCCAAATACTTTCTACCGTGCTGTGCTGATCATGCTGAGAAGGTTTAGTTTTGGCCCTGGCTGGCTTTCTTCTGACACTGAACCAAATGGACCTGGAACATGGAACTCTCAGGCAAAGGCTGACACTGCCAGGAATCACTGGCACTCTCCCCTCAGCCCCAGCAAGAATCTCCACATACCCTCTAATATCAGGAAGAAACTCCCTGAACTGAGGCCTCAGAGGGATAGCTCCTTTAAATGTCTCTGTTCTCCCAGTTCCTGAGACCCTGGCTTTTGGAGATCTCCTATACCATTTTTTCCTTAACTCCTACAATCTGGCTTCTATAGATAAATCTCCCACTTCATTAAAACCAGGCTTCCCAGGGTCCCTCATGGCCTCTTGGTTGTCAAGTCCAGTGTACACCTTGCTTTCCTTCCTTCCTTGAACACGTTTGATGATGTGTCCCACTCATGCTTCTTAAAACCCTCTTTTCTCTTGACTTCTGCAGCTTTGCCCCTTCCAGGTCAGCCTTGATCTTTTGGGTCCCTCCTCATATGTCTCCTTTGTGGACCCCTCTTCTTTTACTGACTCTTTGTTGCTGTTTCCCATGATTCTCTCCTTGGTCTTCTGGCTACTTAATCTGTGTGGTTGCCTGGGTAACCTCATATACCCCATAGCCTCAACCCAGAAAAGATTGCAACCAAAACTTACATTTCTGACCCAAACAACTCCCCTGAGGTCCAGATCCATTGCTCTAATTGCCTACTGGCCTCTTCAGTGGTTCTACAGGGACCTCAAAATGTCCCAAACTGAACTTGACATCTTGCTTCCTGCCTGCCTCCCACACCCACTCTGAACTGGATCCTCCACTTTTATTTCTGACGTTGGTTGTTGCACCAAAAGTCTGAAACTCCTTCAAGCCTCCTGCCTCTGTTATTCATCCCTTTCAATCTGCCACTGACTCTTTAAAATTTAGATTTGTGCCCCCTCTCTATCCTCACTGCCAGCCTTGGTTCAGGCCCTCTTATCTCGTTATGGGGCTACGGCTTCCTAGCCAATCTCTGTCTCTACAGTCTTGTCCCCATGATACTTGCCATTTCTCAGCTTTAAATCCTCCTATGTTGCCCTGCCCCTCAACCTCAGGATGAAATCTAAACTCCTTAGCTTGGTTTAAAGGCCTTTCATGATGCAGTCTTTGCCTCCCTCTCTAGTCTCCTCCTTTCCTCCTCACTGCATGTGTGCTGAGCTCTGTCTGGTCAGTTACAGTGCCGAACAGTTCCTCACCCTGTGAGCACTGACTCCAGTGCCTTTGCACCCGCTGACTCCTTTTCCTGGAACACTTTGCCCCTACTCTGCCAAGCTCACCCATATTCCTCCTATAGTGCCAAGGTCAGAAGTCACTTTCAGGAAGCTTCTGAAGTGCCTCCTAACTGGCAAGGGCAAGCCTTGTCTACACTGCCATTAGCATCATATGTAACATCTTTCAAGCTGCATGTCACTTGTCTATTTACCAGTCTGTTGTTCCTAGGAGACTAAACCACTTGAAAAAGAAATTGTTTCTTCATCTCCAAATCCTGAGGGTTCTGGTAGAGTCTGGGACATAGGAAGTACCTGATAAGTGTTTATTGAATAAATGAATGAGTTATTTAATTAATCTGATGAATGAATGAATGAATGAATAATGAACAGTATCTCTTAACATTTGGGCCTTCTTGGTTCGTCTCTATGCTGTCTGGTTCCCGAAGCACAGCCTGTCCTGAGCTTTGCTTATGTCCTTTACATCAGGACTTTGGACCACCTGCCTTGTTGCTGACCTAATGACCTAAATTCCATCTTCAACTTTGCACATTTCTGGCTCTAGCAGTCTCAGCTTTTTGGCCCTTCACAATGATCCACTCCTGCTTCCCATGCCTCTGGCACTGATGAACAGACTGTGATAGTTACACACAAATTAGGGATTTGATCAGATGCAACAACAAGATAGGATCTAAGAGTCAAAGATTTTGGTTTCAAAAGCATAATGTCAATACTGATTTTAAGTTTTCAAAGTTTTATGTACTAGCAGATACTGGCAATTTTTATAACCTATATTCCCAGGACCCATCAACTATGGATGGGCTGGCCCTTAATAATGACTGATAAGTTATTCTCTTGAACCTACTGCCATAGTCTTAGATTTATTATGGGGTGACTTGTGAAGAATAACAGCCATAAGTAAAAGATCCCTTGAGAAAGACAGAGTGTTAAATACACATAAAAATAGTATTCTAAGCCCTCTTAGCCCCTGTAATACAAAAATAGCTTAATCTTCAGCAAAACATTTCCTATCAGAGTATTTCCACTCCCACCAATGTAGAAGAAGCATGGTGCTATAAAGTCATTTGTATTTACCCATGTCAAATTCCCTAATAAGTATTTTTAAAACTAGATAAAATTTATTACCAGCCTCTTGTCTGGCAAATGATAAGAGAAGTCCAGTGCTATGCTTTTGGAAAATTCTTGTACCTGTAGCAAAAAAATGCAGTATTTCATTAATGGCATGGTGTCTTATGTTTGAATTTTGTTACTTCTGTTGTTCATAATAAACTTTAAAAATATTACTTTAGTCTTCAGTTGATCTGTTTGCTCTTTTAACTTCTGACACATCTGTTTCCCTTGGGATATCTTTTGAAATATGTAAGAAATTTGGAAAATTCTTGTACCTGTAGCAAAAAAATGCAGTATTTCATTAATGGCATGGTGTCTTATGTTTGAATTTTGTTACTTCTGTTGTTCATAATAAACTTTAAAAATATTACTTTAGTCTTCAGTTGATCTGTTTGCTCTTTTAACTTCTGACACATCTGTTTCCCTTGGGATATCTTTTGAAATATGTAAGAAGAACTTGAGGAAGTGTCTTTCTGAGAAGTTGATGACAGCTTAAAGAGACTTGTCTCAACTCCTAGTCCTATATAAGAAAGAATAAGTTTTGGCTACCCTTCATCTCAACCTCATTGCAGATGTATTAAGTTCTAAAAACAAAAGCCTGTGATAATCACCACCATTTGCTATTTTTAAAAAAAGTTTTCAAGATATATATCTAAGTCAAAGAGGTTTAAAAATACTACTACCTGTGAGAGGTTCTTGGTAGGTATGTACTTTGGACTCCATCTGCACAATTAAAGGATAAGAGAACATTATTGTTGATATTCATCCATGACTCCATTAGTCAGAATGGCCTGCTGTGTTCCAGGTCATCATGGAGGCAGCATAGTGTTGTGTCAAGAGCTGAAATCCCACTCTGACACCTATCTACTAGGTGACCCAGAGCAATTACTTCATCCCTGTAAATCTCAAATCTCAGCAGCAAAATGGGGAAAGAATAGAATCTACCTCATCGGTTGTGACAAGGATTAAATGTTAAGTACTATCATAATATCTAGCACATAGTGAGCATTCAGTACACGTTAGCTGTTATTACTGTCATGCTTGATACTATTATGTGGAATACTCAAGCATTTCTCCTTAAACTAAACCATAAGCTCTAGGAGAGAGGGACCATTATTGGTCTTGTCACCAGCTCTGGGGCTTATGCTCTCACTAACACCAAAAGCATGGTAGTCACACTCTAGAGAATATTATAAAACGTATGCACTAAGTTCCAAAATGTGTCTCAAGACAGTGATTACTTACACAGTCATGACCTTTTCTACTCACCACAGGCTACTTGGACAGGAGTTTAAATTCCAGAGTGATTCACCTTGAGGGCCTTCCCATTGTTTTCAACACATAAAGCTCAGACACATGCTAGTTCTAGAGAGGTAAATGCTAGTAGTCAAACTAGACTATGGTTATTATGAATATTTCAATTATATGATGCATATAGAAATTCTGGAGTCCAGTTATCCAACCTGAATTGACAAGACTAGAGAAAATCAGCACCTGACTTTCGACTCCCACCGCCAGTCTGCTCCGACTAACCATGGGGCCCTGGGAACTATGCGCACACAGTGCTCTCTAGCAACCAGAATGAGGAACCCCGAGACTCCCAATGTCACAGGGGTACAGGTTTTCCAAGGCTTAGAGAAGTATCCCTTCAAGGTCAGGTGGGCTGCTAGCTCCAGCTGTAGTGGTGGGGGGAGTGGTTTCTGCTCAAACTCCTTAGAGCATTCAGTTGAAAGAGAAAGGAGTTAAAGCATGAGGGATAGAAAAGGAAACAGGCAAAGAGTGTTCAGTCCAGGGTCCCCTCTATATAAGGCTGGAAGGAAGATCATACAGTCCTGGCAAAATGTCAGGCAAAAAACAAAAAAAATATTTACTTTGATCATTAATGTGAATTTACTTAACTACTGAACCTCAAATAATCAATGAGATCCTGAGCCTCAGCATGTTGAAAATTGGATGGGGGGAATGGGAAGATGGGGAAAGGGAAAACAGTATGAATTAAACATTAACAATTTTTACTAGTTACTATAACAATCTTGAAACATGTTGTTAAAAATCTTAAGTCGATTTAACATTAATAACTAAGGGTGTAATATGTGTAAGACACAAGGCCAGGCCTCTGGGAGAATTAGGCAATGGGAAGATGAAGACATGGTTGCTGCCCTCCACAGGCTTCAAATCTAGTGGAAGAAACCTGTATTTCCAAATTTATTATGATGCAAAGCAGACTGAGATAACTGCTGTGACAGAATACTAAACAAAGAATAATAGGAAAGATTAGGACTGCAGGGTTCTGAAAGTCCTGTGGCCAATAAGGAATTAAAGGAAGCCATGAAAATGAGCACGTCTTTGGTAACAGACAGAATGTTCCACGTAAGGCAGGAGTTCGGAGAAGATGGGGCCTGCGGGGAGGTTGGGGGACAGCCAGGTAACTGAGGTTGATGCTTGGGGGAGGGGAGCTAAGTTTAGAAGGATAGGATGAAGTAAAAAAGGGTGGGGCACAAATTCCAGGTGGAAGAATTGGGAGTTTTTCCTACCCTGTGTTGTGGTTAGTTCAGCCCTGATTCTTGTCATGAGGACACCCACTGAGCTTCTGAGAGGCCAAGGACTGGCCATAATCAAAGCTCAGTTCAGACACCTTGTAAAGAGCCACGCTGACATTGGTGAGCAGTGGGCCTGTACTTCCTGGACACCGCTCTGCTCTCACTTACCTTCATCTGCAAAGGTTCAATAGCTTTCCGTTTCTGCTCTTGTTTTTCAACACAATTTGACCTAGGCATGCTTTCTAAAATATCTTGCACAATAGCTGATTTATCTCTTAGTTTAGGAGAAAAACTGGCTTGTTTATCTAGTGTAAGTGGCTTATGGATTAGGTTATTTTTAGGGATTTTTCTCTTTGGGAGGAACCTCAGAGAAATCAGAGAACCAGTAATTAACTTGACCGGGGCCATAGTTAAATCTGTTGCCTGAACTTGCTTTTTCACTCTGCTGTTTCTGGGGTGCTTTCCCTTGGACACTTTTTTTTTTATCACTTAGGCTCTTGACTTTAGTTAAGAAATCTGAATTGTCCTGATGTCTGCTACATCCAGCGCGCTGGCCCTTCTAAACTGGAGGTGTTTTCTTTCATTGTGGTTGGAGAACAGCTGGGCTACTTGCTGCTTTCGCCATCCCTGTTGGGGTTGAGTAGGTCAGAGAGTTTTGGAGTTTGTTCTTTTGGCCAAGAATTCTTAACATAATGCAAAATAATATTTTTAATAATAGCTTCATCAGAACTGGCAGCATTAGAGATCTCTGGGAGAGTTTCACTGTTAATGCCTTGACCTTCTGAGATTTCCTCCTTCGAAAGATGGTGAGTAAAATATCAGAAATGTTTGACTTTGAAGGGTCTCCTTTATTAGCTGGAACATGAAGATTTATGGTGCATTGTGTCTCTGTCTCATAGTTTTTGTTTACAACATTTTCGGGCATTTTATCCAGAGTCATGGCCATATCTGTGTATCTGTAAGTCCCCTTATATGTAGCCTTTTCTTGAGTGTCATCAGCTGTTAAAATAATTTGATCTGCGGCATCAGGGGTACGTTTGAGGTAAGATTTTAAACACTGTAGATATTAATTTGGGAGAAATCCCAATTAAAAGGCATATCTTCCTTGTGCTTAGAAGCTGTATCTTCTGAGAATCCGGTTTCATCCATTTTTGTGCAGCCTAACTTCCTTTGTCCTTTGCTGCCTGGTCTTAATGTTTTCAATTGTAACAATAGATCTTCTGGTTTTCATTGATTGTCTTCATTGTGTGTGCTATTCTGTGCAAAATGAGAAGAGCCTCATTGTTAAATATATTGGAATAATGTATGAAATTATGCTTATCCCAGTATCTCTGCCAAAACAAAATGGATGCTCTGCATTTAGAGAAATTTAGCTGTAAACATGAAGGCAGTGTGGCCAAAAGCTAACCCATCCTGAATACTGCATTAATATAATCAGTGGTATATAAGTAAGGAATAAAAAAAGCTGGAGGGGCTGGGGGCATTAAGTTTTCATTCATTAGCTTTTGAGGGAGATGTTGGCCTCTAGTTAATGGGCAAAATTTATCAATCTTTCTTAGAAAATGCTGTTTAGAATGTATTCTCCCAAAATAGGAGCTTGGGATTCAAGTTAAGGATTGGGTTTTTTGAAGAACCATGGCTGTCACTGGTCCACACATCACTGACAGGCCGCTAAGTGTATGACACTGAAAGCTGGCTCACCTCAAACATAATCACCAACCTTCTCTGTTCTGGTGCATTTTCATTTGTCCCTTTAGACATTCTGGTTCCCTTCTCCTGATTTTCCCTTGTATGTTAGAGAAAGGCAGATAAATATGACCAAGGAACAAAAAGGCCTTTTGGACACTTGGAGGCCAGTCTGCCACCAAGCATCTCTCTTCTGATTAGAACCCAGGCAGAACCCAGCCAGACAAGCTGCCTTTCTCTGAGCAGTCCCAACAAACTGCCACAATCTGGTGGTAGCAGTGCACCTTGGGGATACTCCTAAAAGTGTTCAGAGCAAAACCAGCTGCCTTTTGGTTTGAGTCACTTTTCACTTTAAAAGAAATTGGAAATATCCATTTCAATATCTCCTCTTGATTTATGGACTTTTGGAACAACTCCTCAGAAGTAGTAAAATTTCCTCCAGTTTTAGGTGGAGCAGCTGAGGCTCTGACTCAACCAGGGGCCCACAGCCACCAGCCAGCCTCCATTATCCATATAATAACAGGATTAAGTGAGCCGATCTCTGAGGTCTTCTCTGCATTCATATTTTTATGAGCCTATGAACTTTTGATTTATTAGACTATCTAAAAAGTTAAAGTAATATGTTTAACCAAAAAAAAAATGATCTAAGTTCTCCAAAAGAAAAGGAGTACAAACTAAATGTGGTCAAAACATCTATAAAACATTACACATACATCTTAATTTATAGGTATGTGCAGTGTTAAAGAAATCAAAAGGATATTTTGTTTAAAAGCAATAGAAGAAAAAGAATCACTGCTGGATTACTTTAAATCATTTACAGTATCCAATATTTACTCTAAGGTGAGGTGTATCTTCATGAACAGAGTTATAGGCTACTCCAACCCAAGCTGAAGAGTAAGGGAAAATGCTTCCCCAGACAGTCAAAAGCACAGTGGGAAAGCAAGAGTTAGGAGGCCTGGATTGAATTCTGGCTTCTCCACTCAAGTTCATTATATGCCATCAGGCAAGTTATTTAACTTTTCAAGTCTTAGTTTCTTCAGAAAAATAGGAATAATAGTATCAAGTTCATAGGATTGCTAGGTGAACATGAGGTAATACCTACAAAACTCTTGGCATAGTGCCTGGCACAGACTGAGCATTCAGTGAAAGGTAGTTTAAAAAGGAAAACAGAACCAGCCTCTGTGTTGGGATACTGAAGAATGCCCAGGTAGAGAAGGCTAGGCAATCTATGTGTGGGGATTTTTAAAGGATAAAGGAAGAAATGGCATATGTGAGACATGATCTCTATCAGAACCTTCAAACTATTCTTAAAAATCTACTTGTAAATGGATATATTGTTTGATAGTGAAAACTATCACTAAATAATTTTAGATAAAAAATTGTCTAAGGTATCCAAATGGCCAACAAGTACATGAAAAGGTGTTCAATATTACTAATTATCAGGGAAATGCAAATCAAAACCACAGTGAGATACCATTTCATACTTCTTAGAATGGCTATCATCAATAATATGAGTTAACAAATGTTATCAAAGATATATACAAATGAGAACCCTTGTACACTGTTGGTGGGAATTTAAATTGGCTCAGCTACAATGGAAAACAATAGGGAGGTTCCTCGAAAAACTAAAAGTGATCTTCCACATGTTCCAGCAAGTCCACTTCTGGGTATATACCCAAAGAAAATAAAAGCAAATATTGAAAAGATATACACACTCCCAGATTTACTGCACATTATTCACAGTAACCAAACTACAGAAACAATCTAAGATGTGAATACACACACACACACACACACACACACACACACACATACACACTCACACACAAACAAACTCACTGACTGACACACACTGAAATAATATTCAGTCATGAGAAAGGACATTTGCAACAACATGGACTGATCTTGAGCACATTTTGCTAAGTGAAATAAATCAGACAAAGACAGTTACTGTATGATATCCTTTTAAATGGAATTAAAAAAAGAAAACGTGTAAAAACAGAGAGTAAAATGGTGATTACCAGGGGAAGGGGGCTGGAGGAATAGGACAGATGTTGTTTAAGGGTACAAAACTTGCAACAAATGGTAAATAAGCCCTAGAGAGCTAATTCACAGTAGTTTACTTATGAAGTCTGAATTTGGTGCTGAAGTGCTGACTTCAGCTCACCAATATGACTAATTTAAGAGAAGATAACCATGGCTGGGATGACTGGGAATCTGGTAGACCTCGGTAAAGAATGTCTATAGTAAATATAGACAACAATATTGTATTACATTCATCAAACTTGCTGAATGGAACTTAATTACTCCAATCACTAAAAGTAAATTATAATTATGTAATGTCACAGAGATGCTAATTATCGCTACAATGGCAATCATATTAAAACATATATACCAAGTTAACATCTTGTATGCCTTAAGATTTCATGGTGTTACATATCAAATATTTTCAATCTATAAAGTCTGATTTTTGAGGGAAACAAAAGAATATCTTTAAATGCCTACAAAGAAAAAAGGAAAATGAATTCTAGTTTTGCAGGACTTCTAACGACTCAAGCACAGCTCCAGACTCATCCTCATGCCTTCTTTGTATCTTGAAGCACTCATTGCTGAGCTCCAAACCCTCCTTGCTAAGAAAATAAGACCCTTCATTAGGCAAATTCTAGTTTCTAAAATATCATTCTGTTCAAATTGATAAAACTGAATTTTTGTTGTAACTCTTTAAGAAAAAGAAGAAAAGAAAAGAGAGATCACCAAGATACGGCAGAAGCCTGAGGAACTCTTATTACACACAGGAATACAGCTTCTGCTATTAGTTTTTGTCTGTACGCAAAATATCAAGTTTCTTATCTGTTAAAAGGACAATCTACAACTTTACATTGTAATGGTCCCCTCACAGGCAGCTGGAAGGAACTGGAACACCTTCCCATGTCAAAAGGACAGCTCAGTCTTAGAATCCAAAACACATCCAAAGGAGTCCAGTCAGAACCCAACAGAATCTTTCTACAGAACCCAATTTGATTTACTGAGTTCAGGTGAACACATGTGGGGCTATGCAGCTATGCTGGCCGTTACGTGCTCAGCAGTAGCTCACAAACCACTCTGAGTGTGAGCACTTTGACACATCCCAGTGACCCAGCCCCGTGAAAACACTGCAGTCTGGACTCTGAGCTGGGATGAACAACCATGTGCTCACCATACTGACATCTATTCCCTGTGTAGTTTACTTATGAAGTCTGAATTTGGTGCTGAAGTGCTGACTTCAGCTCACCAATATGACTAATTTAAGAGAAGATAACCATGGCTGGGATGACTGGGAATCTGGTAGACCTCGGTAAAGAATGTCTAAGATGGGAAAACCAAAGAAAGCTCTTTGGTGGTTAGAGGCCCAAGATAGTCAACGAATCATTGTTTATGGCTGGTATGTGGTGTTCCATTCACTAAGCCCATTTGGTGGTAATACAAATGTTATATATCATGTTTTAAATCAAATGACTGCTCCCACCATCAAAGGAAAACTGTGAGGCTGTGGGCCAGTGACAATCTCTCAACCTCATCCCCAGTGCCCTCTGTTTGGTATCTAGACCACTGCAGCCTCCAGACATGGCGTGTGTGATGCAGAGGCAGCAGAGAAAGCAGGCATTGTTTCTATCCACACTTCCCTGCCTCTTTCCACTCAAATACCAGTGTCATTCTGACCCCCAGTCTTCTAGAATCAACCCCACCAACTGTCACGATAAAAGAAGTTGACTTTTGGAGGCAATGATTCAACAATCCAAATTCTTCTTACTCCTGTATATCTGTGTCATTAAGAATGTGAATAGATTATAGTTAGGAGCTTTAAGTATGTGATCAAATGATACTTTGTACTTCATAAAGTAGTACGCTCCTCTAAGTCTTCAACTGACTGGCTGCAGTCAACACAAAGAGGTACTATAAGAGCAGTAGTAATAGAGACTCACCTCTGTCTTGGGATTTCTGGATGTGGAGTGAACCAGTTAAAGGGCCTTGCAATACAGATGAGCAATCTTTTATTTCTAAATCGTCTTTCTTTTTTTCAATAGTTGGAAGCTGGCCGCAGCTGAATAACAGAACAAAAAGTGAGCTTCAAAAATCATGGTGTGCCTGTTTCTTCTGGGTTCCTTCAACTGTAAGAAATCAGCTTTGAAGACTACATAGGGAACTTCCAATGTGATCAACGCTTGTCTTTTTTTTCTTTTAAGAGCATTCAAAAATATTTACTTTGACTCTGTTTTAATTTTCAAATTCTCTCCCTCTATTCCTAGTTCAAGATTTTTATTTACCCATGAAAGTAAATAGGAGATGGCTCCAGAATAGTATGTCCTAGGCCACGCCCAGAGGTCGGGTGTTCATGGATTTTGTATCCAGTGTATGGTGTTTCTAAATTAAAATATTTTCAAAGGTAATGTGATACAGTCTCCCTCTGCAATGACTGCATTTGG